CCAGCATACTGCCATTAACTGTAAGGTATTTAATGTTCAAAATTAATCTGTCTGTTACTGATTAACAAGCCAAGCAATTTAAAAGCAATAAATGCAATTCTTGCAAGCATTTGTTCTACTTTTCAGTTTGATTGATTTAAATAAAATTGCATTGAAATCAGGAGATGTATAAATAGAAATATTAAATATATTTATGAAATATGAAACTACTTTAATTGGATTCATTAAAACCATTATTTATTTTATGATAACTTTTTTAAGCAGCTGCCCACAAAAGCTGCTAGTATTGTATATATAAAGGGTGTTTCATTCTTTTTTGTAATGGTTTTGCAAAGATTTATATGTAAACAAACCTTAGAATTTTATTTTCTAATATGTTCAATCTGATAGCACTTTTGTTGATTGTTCATTTTGATTTCCAAGACAAAATCCTTTTCTTAAAACATCAAGGTTGATTTTATTCCACTCCTCCTTCACAATCTTCCAGAGTCCATCTGATGTTTTGGGATACCGCTTATAAGGAGCTTGTTTTAAAAGTCTAACTGGCACAGTAACTCATAGCAGACACATCAGGGGACTTGGATGGGATACATTTAAAGGGAATAGCTTCAATTCCGGTTTCATTTCTCATTTCTTCAAAAAAAAAAAAAAAAAAAAACAGTGAAGATTGTTTGGAAAAACAGATGGAATTTCTTTTTTAAAAATAAGTGTTAAAACATATTTCTGATAGTAATCCAAATTAATTTTGACTTTTTTTTTCTTTCCTTATTTTAAGTTTTCCATTATAAGAGAAACCAGTAATGACCATAAAACCTTTAGAAAAACCTTTATCATTGTTTTTCTCAGAATTAAGTCTTTTTCTCCACTTTTTCAGTAGTAAATCGATCTTTTTCTATTGTAATCAGATTAGTATATCCAAGCCTAATCAAATGTAAATGTATATTTCCATTTTTTACCTAACAAATAATTTTTATACAGCAATCTGCATATAGTCTTATGCTGAGAAACATGCTTTGGCATTAGGCAATGAACATCATGTGGTTTATTATTATTATTATTATTATTATTAGCTTATACTGAGCATGCCTTCACAGTGTAGTGGTCAGCATGCTCGATGCGTATTCGAGAGGTCTGTGGTTCAAGTCCCGGCAAGGGCATTGCTCATTTTTCATTTTTTCTGCCTCAAAATAACCTAATGTCTCTACAAGCTTTAAATAAGATTTTATAACTTTGTTCACAGTTCCTACAGGATATTTAAAGAGTTTGAAAAGTCCTTTTGAGAGCCTGGAACAAGAGATACGACTTCAGATTTAATAAGGACCTTTGTTGGGTATGTGTTTTTTGCCTTTTTCCCAGTCAGATGTTAACTTTGATATTTCTTTCCTTTCATATAAATTGTGTCACTTATTTTAAGTGTAGAAATATTAAAACCATGCTTTTCACACCTTTTTTAAATAATTGAATGGGAGTATTTCTCCAAAAACAGCGCAAAAATATAGCCTTTGATCCGTTGTTTATTTTTCAGTGACATTTTAAGGAAAAGAATATTTTTAATGATGCAGGCAGTAATTAAATCTTATTCCAATTTGATGCCAGTTACATTTGTTTTTTAAAATCAATATTTAAATTCATGGAGAAAATCAAAATCATTATAAAAATATGTCAACATCCTCTGTATATACATTATATAATATATATAAATATGTATAATATATATATATAATTATAACATACATAGATATAATATAATATATATAATATATATAAAATACATAAACAATATTTTGTAACCTATATATACAGTACAAAGTCCGTAATCCGGAATGATCTATAATCCGAACCTCAAAGCCACAAACTTTTTTTTTGTATGCTTTATGCATGCGCGTAATATATAACAGACGGTATAAGCTAGGTTAAAATTATCTTTACTGATTCTAAGGCATTTCAGTTAATGTTGCAGATTGCACTGTTCCTTAATCTTCTAATTGGATCCGGCTTATTATTTTTTACAGACTGTTAGAGCAATTTTATAAAAATTAAGTTTGAACTTTCGATTATGTTCCAATTCTGGAGCTGCCATACCACTTCCGATAGTGAAGAAAGTGACAGAGAGGTTATTGAAAATGAAAAAATTTCGAATGACAAGTTAGTCGGTATTCTCGACACAGCAATTACATGACTTGAATAGTGGAACTTAAAGAGAAAGTATTGGCACAAAAAAAAAAAAAAAAAAAAAAAAAAACTTAAACAACTTACATTGAAAGAAATGTTTAATAAAATAAACAAATAAATATTAAGATTTTTTTTTTTTTTTTTTTTTTTGTAAATTTTGATACCCTTTAGATCGCAATTGCTCTTTATTTCATAAATTATGGTTTCATATTTTTAATTGTATAATTTCTGCATGCCATCTTACCAGATTTAAATTGATGATCTATAATCTGGAAGAAACTCTAATCCAGAATCGCCGAAGTCCCGATGAAACCGGATTATGAACTTTGTACTGTATATATAGGTTGCAAAATATTGTTCATAGGTATTGGAAGCATTTCTTTGCCATACATTAATTCCTACTTGAGTCATAGAAATTAGGATGTTATGGCAAATGCCCCCACCAAGTCTCAAGATAAAAAGGGACGTGGGAAAACACATGTTGATAATCTATAAAGAGCAAAAAATTCTTAACTTCATATAGAACCAATAGTGACTGTTTAAATTTCCCCACATAATAACATTACAGTCCAATAATTTTAAAAAAGTAACTAATTTACTCAAAAATTGGGCATCTTATGCACCTTACAGCAAATAATTGACAGATACAGGGTGACAATTATTGAACTATATGAAATAAAACCGTCATAACTTTTGAACGGTTTGCGTGAACTTTGTGGTTGTTCAAACTTTGTGGTTGGCTGCAGGAAATGATAGGAACTACTATGCGCAAGTGCTTGCAACTTGTTACTGTTGGCCATTTTTAAGTGAAAATATCAAGGTACAGCATGCTTGAGCGTATAGATCTTGTGAAGGCCTATTATGCAAGCAATAACAGTCCGAGTGCGGCTCAAAGGGAGTTTGCGACTGAGTACAAACTGAAGAGAACTGGTCCAAGTGTGCTAACAAACAAGAATTTGATTTACAAGTTTGAGAGAACTGGTAGTGTTTGTGATGACAGTGTTGACAATATTGGTTGAAAAACAAGTGTGAAAACACTGAGAAGACACACTGTGTTTCAAACCAGCCCAAGGAAACTGATCAGACAAGCTGCACAACTGGTGGGAATCAACTTGGAGACCCTGCAACAAATTGTTTTTGAAGAACTGCTTTTCTTCCCATACAAAATTCAAATTCGTCAGCCATTAGGCACCTGACAATGGAACAGAGGTTGTGTTTCACAAACACCTGTCAAGAGAACTGACGAACAGGAATTTGATGTGAATATGGTTAGGTTTAGCAACAAAACCCACTTTCATTTGAATGGGTTCATCAATATGCAAAATCGGTGCATTTGGAGGACTGAGAATCCGCTTTCATGAACATAAACTATCTCCACTCTCAACGGGTGACTGTATGTTGTGCAATGTCCAGTCACAGAATAATTTGTGCGATATTCGTTGATGGCATGGAGCCTATTGAACGATTCATGAAGGTTTTTTTAAAATGATTTCATCCCCATCATCCAAAATGCCCCTGATTTCGACAAGATGTGGTTCATGTAAGCCGGAGCTTGACCCCCATCGGAGCAAGATAATGTTTGATGTCCTGGCGGAGCATTTAGACTGCGTTCTGACTGTGGGGCACCCAGAAGTCACTGGAATGGGGCTTGCTTGGTCGCCATATTCTCTGGATCTGTAAACGTGTGACTCATTTTTATGGGGCTATATTAAAGACAGTATGCACAGAAATAACCCCAAATCCATTGCTGATCTGAAAACTGCCATTCAAGAGGTTATCGACAGCATCGAAGTTCCGACACTTAAGCAGATCATGCAGAAATTTGCACTACATCATAGCCAAAGATGGCAGGTATATCGAACATATCATAACGTAAATCCGAATATCTGTAGCGAAGTTTACATGTTGATTAAAGTTTGTGCAGTCAGTAGTTTTTAAGTAATTTACATTTTATTTCATATAGTTCAATAATTGTCACCCTGTACATGCATTTAAAGACATACTACAAGCTAGTTTGAAAACTTCTATTAAGATTGAAAAATTAAAATTTAAATTTAAATGTTAAATTTTCATCAAATATTACCAATTTTTAAAAAATGGCATTAAAATTATCAAGAATTTAAATTATCAGTATTGATTTCCTAAGAATATTGCATAAAATGTGAATACATATTATATAAACTGCAAAAGGTTCTGCATAAAATGTCAAAATGTAAAAGCTTACTGAACACTCCATTGGCTTACTAGACACAGCACAGCGATACAGAGCTTACTGTGTAAGCAACTAAAAGCTACTTGAAAATAAGATAATAATGAAGTATTCTTTTTGAAAAAAGCATATTATTGTAAATTGCAATTGGTAGCTTTCAACTACATGCTGAGAAGGGGAAAGAATTTTTTATTTTACACAATCACAACTTACATAAAAAATAATGAGCAAATGGTTAAACAAATTTTAAAGACTCTTCACTTTACTGAAAAAAAGTAAAATAAGATTAAGTATATCAATAGAGTAATGATAAAATAAAATGCCTTTTTACAAAATTAAAGATCTGAAATTCAATTTCTGGAAAACAGATTTAAAAATTTTTAGAAAAAAGCAAAACCTACCTAATTTAAATAAAAGAATTCTCTTCTGGCATTGCAAATAAATTCACATATTTTCCAGTTAAAAGAAATATGGGGTCAAAAGACCCTGTATGTTAAAGGATAAAAATCTAGTGGCTGAATAGTACACATGTTAAAAAACTGAGCTGTGTGTTTAAGAAAATATATTAGATTTTTAATAGCTTAATTTTATAAGCAACAGAAAAAATGCCGAAACTTACGTTCAGAGCTTGATGTAAATGATGACATATCAGATCCTACAAGGGCAGCTTCAAACAACCATGTTCCAAACAAATGCAATACTGAATTACATTTGGGTCGTGATGGTGATAGTGGTGGACGTAAAAGCGGAGCAGAAGAAGTTGTAGGTGTAGATATAGGAGATTGCTGAGGTGTTTGCTGATTCAATAATTGCTGCTGTGATTGACCAAGATGTGTTGGTTGGTTTGGATTAGACTTTGAAGAAGTTAAACCAGATATCAGACTTGTTTTTTGCACACCTGTTAAGTAATGATATACATGTAATGAAAATTATTCAAAAATAATCAGCATTTTTAGATGTATTGTTACCATAAATTCTAAAATCCAAAACAACCTTATATAAGATAAAGTAAATAATAAGTACATGCAACAAAACTGAAAAATTAACTCTTACAGCAAAGCAAAAGCATCACTACCCTATGTGTACAGATTTTTTTAAAACAACATATATATACATATATACATATATATATATACAGGCTATATATATATATATTAGATATGGAAAGGTAGCTACAGGCTTTACTTACTTACATAATGATCCTAAGCCATATTTTTTTAATATTTCCTTTCAAATTTCTTAAAGCAAAGTACAGGATTTTATGAAAATAATTTTATCAATAATGGTAGAAGTTTCTGTTAATATTAAATCTACCTTAATCTTCTTCAAAAACTTTAAATACTTCATTTCTAACAAAATTTATCCAGCATTAAGTATAGCCTTTAAGTCATATTTTACCATCCAGTGCTAACTACATATATTTTCACAAAAAGCAAGAAAAGATCTTAAGCACTATAACTGAAATTTTTGTCTGTTTTATTTGATTTTCAAAATGGGAATTCTAATTTCTTCAGCATACCATTAAAGAAGCTGCATATATTTGGAATTAACTACTTTCTTTCTTATTAACAAACTCTACTTCTGCAGCCATACAACAGTTAAGTTGAAGTTAAACGTGTTAACAGGGATTAAGTAGGAACCCCTATAACTGATGATTCAAATAACTTAAATTACATGCAACTTTTAGAGATTAAAAATATATGCAATAGACAAGATGTTATAAATAAAGTACTACAGTCAAAAGTCGTTAATCCGGACTCGTCGGGACTTCGGGCGATTCCGGATTATCGATTTTTCCGGATTATAGATCATCAGTTTAAATCTGGTAAGATGGCATGCAAAAATTACAAAATTAAAAATGTGAAACCGTAATTTATGAAATAAAGAACAATTATGATCTAAAGGGTATCAAAATTTACAAAAAGAAAAAGCTTAATATTTATTTGTTTACTTTATTAAACATTTCCTTCAATGTAAGTTGCTTCGTTTCATGTGATAATACTTTCTCTTTAATTCCATTAAACAGACATAATTTCTTGTTTAGTTACAAAGTTCGGGCTGTTCAAGTCCTATAATTGCTGTGTTGAGAATACCGACTAATTTGTCAATCGAAATGTTTTCGTTTTCAATAACCTCTGGGTCACTTTCTTCACTATCCGAAGCGAATTATAATGACGAGGAACTTGATTTAAATCATATCAAAGACGGACGAAATACTAAACTTAGTACGGAATTATAATCCAAATAAAATAAAAACATCTGCTCTGAAGATAAGGATAGTGTTGACAGATCAACTTCCAATCCCTGGCGTGAAATTCATAAACAGATTTCGGATTTCAAAACATACTTTCGCTTTGTAGATACAAATTACATATTAGTAAATATATATTGGAAATTCTATTTGACATAATCTTTCTAATCTATCATAATCTAATAATGACGTTTCTGCCCCCCCTTCTGCCGCAGAGCAGCGTGAAATTGATAAACAGATTTCGGATTTCAAAACATACTTTCGCTTTGTATATATATCGGAAATTCTATTTGACATAATCGAAAGTTCAAGCTTAATTTTATAAAATTGCTCTAACAGTCTGCAAAAAAAAAAATAATAGCCGGATCCAATTCGAAGATTAAGGAACAACGCAATCTGCAACATTAACTGAATTAGATAACTTTAGCTTAGCGTATAACTCCGTTACACATTAAACGCGCATGCGTACAAACATATTCGCAGCCGTAAGGGTCTTACGCGCTCTCGTAAATGCCTGTGCGCATGCGTGAACGCGAAGCATGCGCAGAAAGTTTGTAGCTTTGAGGTCCGGATTATAGATCATTCCGGATTATGGGTGTCCGAATTAACGACTTTTGACTGTACTGAGAAAGTAAGACTGTTACAAACAATCATAGTTAGTAAAAATTGGAAGCTGATGTAACACATAGAATACTACTGTTGACAGTAGCTATGATCAAAATAATGCCAGTTATTGAACTGTGATTTTCATGAATATACTTATTTAAATTTCTCATTTATAATGAAAACTATCAACTAATACAAAAAATGGGATATAATACCAATGTTAAATAAAAAAAGGATTTAAAAAAGTAAACAATAATTTCATTATTGGATTATTAAAAAACAGTTTCCAATCAGGACAGAATCAAGAATGATACAAATGTAAGAAATGCTGCAGGTGGGCATTATTACCACTAATATTAAAAATAATGAAATCTTCACATGTTTAAATGGCTCCTGAATCATAATATAACGTTGAAGGTATTGATTCCTACTATAGCTTCCATTGTATGTGAAAGTGAATATTTAACAGCAGCTACCATAAAAATTGATTAGAGATCAATATTTGATATACAGAAAGGAATGACAATGTTTATGACATAATTTCAAAGCTGTGCCTCAACATGATAAGAAAAAAGGTAACACTTTGTTCAGGTTTTATATCTTTTATTAAAGATCTGATAAAACGATAATAGTGCCCAGTTTTCAGACAAAAATTTAAACAACTATTAGGAACAATGTAATGTATCTACATCATTTTCTTTGTGAAAATTAATATTTCAAATTATTTACTTTATTTTTTATATATTAATATAATGTTTCAAAATTATATGATTATATATTTTAATAAGTTTCCTTTCTTCCAAATTTCCAAAACTACATTTAGTAGAATAGCTCTTATAGGCCTTTTCACACTTTGCAGGTTAAATCATAAGCAGCAACAACTCAATGTACTCAATAACTAAAATACACTGCAGTGCAAAAATATGATAATCAAAGCATCAAACAATGTTGGTTCTCACAGGAGAGCCTCAGAAACAAAACTAGATTTTAATATAATTAGATACATTAGAAATCCAGCACATTAGCTGGATTAGAAAGCTGTGAATTCAAAAAAGATTAAAAATTGCTGTTTTAAGTCATCACGTATAAAGTAAAATTTTTATTCATAATAACAAAAGCTCTGATTAAAACAATTATGTCTGCAATTAAAGAAAACCACTGAATGTTTGGGATTGGATGATTCATATAAAAAGCAGCCAACTGCTATCAAGAAAAAATAAACTTTATAAAAATATTCAATTTAATATCCAAAGAAACTGCATAAGTAAAATTTTATTGAAAAAATAATGCATTTAATTTACATTAATAACATTTAAATATATATATATATATATTTTTATGTTTTTCTGTTACAGTTGCATGTTTAAGAAATTAGCACAGATATTGTTAAAAAGATAAACAAAAACACAAATTTAAAATTAAATATATTTTCTTTTACTTTTAGTAGCACTGTCTTTTGGTACATTCTTTGAAAATCCTCTTCGACTATAAGGAGGAGTAGATGATGAAGATGAAATTGTGTGAGAGTAAGTTCTTGGAATATGAGTACTATCTTCGGAATCAAGCTGAGCAATACCTGTAAAAAATTTCCACTTCAGTCCATGTCTATTGCAAAAATAAATCAAAGGTAAAGGTTTATAGTATATGCTGTTTATGCAGATGCATATTTTCTTGGAGATATTTTTTTTTTTTTGGCAACAAAACATCTGAAATGACATTTTAGTAATCCTTCTTTGTTTTCTACTTCCAGTGTTTCATTTGGCTAAAAGACACATGCCCAATGTACATTTGTATTTTTGATTCTGGTCTTTCAGCACATATATGTCACTAGTTACTTTTTATTCACTTTAGCAGCCAGCCATTTAATTTATAATGAAAAGCAAGTATAGCATACAAAATTTGCCACAAAGGGAATCAGAAGCTACTTAATTCATAATGACAAGAAAGAATAATTAAGATAAAAAAACATGCCAAACAAGTATAATTTAGATATCAAATAACAAAAATCAGCATTATATTTGCAAATTTTCACAGGACTAGTTTTGACGGTTTTACCAAACATCATCCTCAGCTGCCAAAGCGCAAATAAATTTGCAAAAATAATGCTGATTTTTGTTGTTTGACTTCTAAATTAATTAAGTAAGAATAACTTACAGAATTTACCACAGGGAAAGCAGAACCTGCAACTGTCCTTCAAGGGTTTGATAGGATTACAAAAATATTACTGCAGATGTTTTTCCCCAAAAAATGTATTCCCAAGAAAATGTGAGCCGGGATAACTGATGAAAATTGGGATTACTTTTCTTCACATTTACAAGTTAACAAAATATTATACATAATAGTTCATTACAGAAAATGATTTTTTTATTATTCATAGAGAATTTTTACAGACGCTTCATCCTGACATTATACTTAGATTTGTTATAATCAAAACATTTTGTTCATAGGCATTTAACCCTGCAATGGAGGGGCCAGCGTACAGAGTACGCCAATGCCATCTTTTGGGCTGTAATTTTTAGACAAACTCTTCCTGAGCTTCCTCCCTTCCTCTACCCTCCTAGAAACATTTCATGAGTGCAATGCACATCAGGTATTTCTGGTCAGTCTGGTTTTCGCCTTCCTTCCAAAAGCAGTTATTGTGACCATGTCGCATAGGCGAATGCAGTACACCACTCTTCCAAGTATGTACAGAAAGAATATTGTACCTCCTGAAGATTATTTGAGTGCATTTTAAAAGAAGTCTCGGTTAATGAAGACTTTAACAATTTGGATAACGCATGATGTCAATGAATCAGAATTAACGGACATTCTGATCATCAAAGTGACTCAGAAATTGAGGGAAATGCTTCTAAACATCCTCATTTTCCTTACCTCAAGTGATGTTTACCCAACAAATGACGATTTTAGTGATGTTGAAAATGACATGAAGTGATTTAAAATGTAAGGACTTTTTTGTAAAAACAATTTATAAAAAGAAGAAAGTTGGAGGAAAGTTTCTGGAAGAAGAAAAGGAAACTTATAAGTGGGAACAAACTTTCCCTCAAGAGCAAATTCGCCAGAAGGCCTCGGAAAAAACTTTGATGAAAAAAATATGCTTAAGTGCCAAAATTGTGACGATATAAATGATGAGCTTTCTGCTTTTCAGAAAATCATAAATACAAGTATGATTGATGCTATCGTGCAATATACAAAAATATTTATCTCAAATGTAACAGGACTGCAGGATGATCTTCTAAAACATCTCAAAGAGAAGCATGTATGATACTAATAGAGCATAAATGTTGTCCTTTCTAGGAATTTTATTCTTATTAGGGTGCAAAATAAAAATGTCAAAACTCAATTTGGAGGAAGCATGGGCAAAAGACGGTATAAGTACTGGAATTGAAATTTTGCAAGGAGTCATGGGTCTCAAACGATTCAGAAACCTGTGTGATGTTATTAGATTCGACGACAAAGGCACAAGGTATGTGCGAAGGAAAAACTGATAAGCTTGCTGCACTAAGAGAAGTTTTTGAATCTTTCAATCAGAACTGTCAAAAACTGATGAAAACGTTTATACACCAGGTGACGAACTCATAATCGACGAGAAGTTGGAACCCTTTTTGCACGGGAGATGCTCGTTTATTCAATTCATCGCCAACAAGTCCTGCGAAAGTACGGTCTGAATATATTTGCAGTTGTTGACTCACGAACGTTTTATGCATTGAAACTTGAAATTTATTGTGGCAATCAACCCCCAGGACCTTAAGAGGCTTCTAATTCAAGTATTCACATTGTCAAAAGGCTAACTGATGCGTACGAAGGTTCCAACTGTAACCTGAAGGACCGATAATTGGTATACAAGCTACCCGCTAGCTCAATATCTTCTTGCCAAAGGTATAACACTTGTGGGCACGCTGAAAAAAAAATCAAAAGGAAATTCTAAATGAATTCCAGCCATCGAAAACAAGAGAAGTCGGCAGTTCACTGTTTGGTTTTCAAAAGGATATGACAAGTGTTTCATATGCAATGAAAAAAAATAAGTGTGTAATACTGCTCAGTACTTTACACGATGATGACAAAATTGACCAGGAAACGATAAACCTCAAATAATCCTGGATTATAACAAATGTAAAGGCAGAGTTGATACCGTAGACCAACTCTGTAGTAATTTCACTGTCGCCCGAAAAACCAAGAGATTGGCAATGGCAATATTTTTGCACTGCTAAACGTAGCGGGCATAAATTCACAAGTGCTCTTGAACTTCTCCAAACCTGATGCAACCATCAAGTTTAGAAGATATTTTTTTGAAAACTCTAGCTACATCTTTGATGAAACCACATCTTCAGAATCGTCTGAAAATGCCATTTCTCCTGTCGCATTCCAAAGCTATTACTAGAAGGCTGGTAACAACAGAAGCGGACAATACGGCCGAAAGGGACGAGGAACCACCTGGAAAAAAGATCAAAGGACGCTGCGCTGAGTGCGGTAGAATGAAGAATAACTACACTACCATAAAATATTCTGAGTGTTCTACGTTTACCTGCAAAAATCATCTGGGCAAGACAGTACAACTTTGCAAACCCTGCTGCAGTGAACAGGGACAATCAGACAATTAAAATAGCAAAAGGTTTTAATTTTTTTTCATTTGTGAAATTTATTACTTACCGAACTTTTCTTTATGGAATATTTATAATTTGTAAATTTGATTTATGTTCTTATAATTTTCATACAGAAAATAATGCAGAATACTATTTAACTTTAAATTGTATTTCCAGTGCATCCACTTTTTGAATTAATTAAATATTCATAGTTTCCATTTTTACTGTTTTTTTTCTCTTATTCTTTTTCTTATATCATTTTTACTATGACGAATCACCTTATTAATGCCATGTATAGTTTCAAACACGAAGCAGAGGCTCGAAAAATGACCTGGCGTACTTCATACGCCGACCCTCTAAAATTTTACCATATGCCAACCCCTCCAACTGAGGGTTAAGGAAATATAGACAGTGTTTATATTAGTATTTTTAAATACAGTGAACTCACCATTTTATGAACTTCCAATTTATAAACAGCGTAATTTTACAAACTATTACATTAGTTCCAAAATGTTCATGGTCTTTATAAATGACATTCACATTTACAAGGCTTTTAATTTTGTTAAAAAATTTTTTATCCATACAAGTTCATAAAATTAAGAGCCCATTATATAAACATAGAAAATTTATTCATTTTTTCTGAATATGGAATAGATGTAAACGTTTAGCAAAGCAATAAAAAGCTTAAGGAATAAATGCACATTTACTTAAACAATAGGCTATAATTTTCTATATTTTTAAATAAAAATGTTTACTAAGACTAGTTATTATTAAATGTTACTGTTGCTATTAAATGTTTCATCTTCAAAAGGAAATATGACAGAACATCTTAATGTTATTATGCCACCATTTAACACCTTAATGCTCTTTTTATTTCAAGATAAAAAATAATCTTTTTTTTTTTTTTTTTTCAAATTATAATTAAAATTTGACGAATTTCTTTCTTTGAAAATTAAAATTTGAATATTTCTTGTTTTGGCAATCTTGATAAGTTTATGAAAACATTTAGCAGGTGCCTAACATGCATACTTTAGCAGCACAAAATTTTAGAGTTGCCAAAGGTGCCTAAGCAATTTTTTCCTATTATTCATATACGAAGTTTAACAATGTAATAAGTTGATTTGCAGGATGAACAAGAGCTGTTTTAAGAACCAAGAACTCATTTTTTTTTAATTCTTGAAATTTAAATGTCATAAATAATTCAAATATTTGGCAGCAAACAAGCCAATAATCAAATTTATAGAAAATCAATCATCAGTTCACCAAAATGAAATCTGACATAATATCATTTAAAAGGAAACTGTGATAAAGCACAAAAAAGCTATAGTAATAAAATAATAGAATCATAAAATCAGAGATAAAATAAAATCAAAGTAAATCAGAGATGCGATGTGTAAGATAAAATGATGAATTTTACAAATAAGTGAGAAACGACCTGAAAGTTAAAATTTTTGGAGATCTGGACAATTTTATAATTGACAGAAAGTTCAGATGTCAATAAGGTTAGTGTGGTTATTTTTAATAGCAGGCTGATAATGGCAAGATGAATAACTTTTTAAAGGCATTATCAGTAACAATCATTGGTACTACTTTTGAATGTCTTTCATAATGGCAAGATGAAACATTTTTAAAGGTTTATTAATAACAAGCTTCAGTCAATGGTACTGCTTTTAATATAAATGATACCATTGATCAAAAATAATTTAAGTTTCTGAGGAAGAAAAAAATTTGACAAGTATGATTTACATAATGGTAAAACGAAGTCTTTTTTGTTGTAGTTGTTTAGAGGCTGACATTAATGTTAATACAGTCAAAAATCGTTAATTCGGACACCCATAATTCGGAATGATCTATAATCCGGACCTCAAAGCTAAAAACTTTCTGCGCATGCTCCGCGTTGACACATGCGCATAGGCGTTTACGCATGCGGCGTAAGACCTCTTACGACTGCGCATTTGCGTGTGCGCAAGCGCACAGAATACGTTTTCGCGTGTGCGTTTAATGTATAACGGATGGTGTATAAGCTAAAATTATATAATTATCTATTTCAGTTAATGTTGATGATTGCGTTTGTTCCTTAATTTTCGAATTGGATCCGGCTTATTATTTTTTGCAGATTGTAAGAGCAATACTAAAAAAGTAAACTTGAACTTTCGATTATGTCAAATAGAATTTTTGATTCTGGAGCTCCCAAAGGATCGTACAAAACGAAAGTATGTTTCAATGTCCATCAAACAAAAAGTGTAATTGCTGCAAAAAATGGATAAAGACATGAAAAATGTGACAGAGAGGTTAGTGAAAACGAAAAAATTTCGATTGACAAGTTAGTCGGTATTCTCGGCACAGCAATTAAGGGACTTGAACAGCGGAACTTGTAAAGTGAACAAAAAATTATGTCTGTTTATAGAATTAAAGAGAAAGTATTATCACATAAAACGAAACAACTTACATTGAAAGAAATGTTTAATAAAGTAAACAAATAAATATTAAGCTTTTTTTTGTAAATTTTGATACCCTTTAGATCATAATTCTTCCTTATTTCATAAATTACGGTTTCATATTTTTAATTTTAGAATTTCTGCATGCCATCCTACGCGATTTAAACTGATGATCTATAATCCGGAAAAATCGATAATCCGGAATCGCCGAAGTCCCGACGAGTTCGGATTAACGACTTTTGACTGTATAAACCATATTTTGTTTCCTTGACACATGGGGAGACAAGGAAACAAAATATGGTTTACGTTAACATTAGTGCTGAAATCAAATTTACTGTGAATAGATGAAATGTGAAAAAAGGAAGGGAGTTGCCCGATTTATTTTCAAAAGTGAATTGAATGGTTGGGTCAATTAAATCCACAATGGATAAAATCTTTATGAAATCTTCTTTACTGTAATAAAAAATATGAAAATGTCATTAACAGAGTGAATTTAATGAATGGGGAGATTCAATTTACATGCACTATTTTGAGGTCAAATAATTTGAATTCAGAATAATGTAAGTGAATATAAAAAGTTTTATTCAAAACCTATGCTAATCTTTTCCAACAGACTTGTTCACCAAATTGCTAATTTAGCTATGCAAATATATATATATATATATATATATATATATATATAAATTAATATTATAATATATAATAGATATATATATATTACAGAATAAACTCACCTAAAAACACATCCACAAGGTTAGAAATACCTTTCATTGCTTTATAAAATATCTGAGGTAAAACAGCAAGACAAGGGTGCTGGCATGGATCAATAACCATTTCACTGCTCAAGGCAAAATGATAGAATTTAGGAGTCTGGCTGATAACCTCAGGCCGACAAAGATCAACAGGATTTCCAAGAGTATGCAATAATCTAAACCATGCTTGAGCAATACTCTCATTACTCATGTCGGCAGGTACTAGATGCATATCATCATCAGCTAAGAAGTATTTTGAAAAAAAAAAAAATGTATAAATTAAAAGTTAACAATATGAAAATATACTCAAATATTCATCATACAATATACAAAAATTGGTGTAAGAAGATTTCACATAAGTATAGATATATACAAAATTACTTGCTAATGGTTAACTGTATAAAACATGCATTCATTTTTTGAATCCCTATATTTTTAAATTTTTTTTCTTAATTTGTAGTTGGTAATTTTTTTGCACGGGGTTTGCACGTAATTAGAAAGTAGCAAATTTTGCACAGCTGCACTATTGTTTTCAATGACTGCTGTAATTAGGGAAGAGAATCCACCATATTAATGACATTGATCTTCATCTTCTAATTCCATTCACACACTTATGCCTGACTTATAAACCAAGTAATGTACTGTACTGTAATCTGAAAATGAACCTGCTTCATTCAGCTCACTTCTTTGCAGATAAAATTTGAAAATACAACACTGCCCTTGCTCAAGTACTGCTGAAATGTCGCACTGAGCTGTATCACATGTTTCTGTCCAAGTTTTAACCATGCTTACATTGTTTATTGGTAGCTCTCTTTGCTTAATATTGCAAAGACAGTTTATCAGTTGTATTAGCAAACTTTAATATAACTTTTCTGATTTTCCCTTGAATGGCTTAATATAAATATAATACATAATATCACAAATTTTTACTTTTAATTATGCTGAAATTTCTACTAGCACTTACAATTTCTATTTAAATATCACTGAAATTTTGATTCTTTTTATTTCTGCAAATGATAAAGATGCAAATTCAGGCAACTGCTTAATAATAAACATATAAATACAGCAAGAAAACTACAGAGTTTCTTGAACTGGTACAATCTAACTCTCAGTTTAAACATTTAATTTAGTAATTTTTCCAGTATTTATTTTGTATACTGTAGCAAATTATAAAAAAAAAAAAAAAAAAAAAAAAAAAAAACCCACTTCTGTGATCTCAAACTGGGAAACATTTTCCTCTTTGAAATAATTTTTCTTTAATTTGCATTTTATCAGTTTATTTTGTTACACAGAGAAAATTAGTAGAATTTTAGTTGAATAAAATAACTTATAAGTACTTATAAGCACCCTTGAAAAGTCAAACAATTTTCGATCAGTGACGATAATTGCTTGATTTGTTGATTACTTTTTTAGTTTTTAAAAGTTTCCATTTTCAATTTTTTTTATGATTCATAATTGATGTTTCATTTTAAAGATATTTGCAAGATTAATTTATAAATGCTTTTAAGTTACTCCATTCAATTAAAATTCTACTACTTTTCTTAAAGGAGATAACATACTCAATAATCCATTAGTAAATGAATTATTATTTTATTACTTTGCAGTTTTTTCACAAGTATTAGGCACTTTATTATGATTAATTCATATATTTATGTCAATCATATATATATTATTATTTCTTAACGCTAGGCAAAAAAAATTACAAAGAACTAATATCTTATAAACAAAGGTTATAAACAACAGAACTAAGAACAAAAAGACAGAAGTCATTGCTTAAGCAGCGTTCTTGCCTCCCAGTATTGTGACTCTTCTGCAAGACCCCAAAGAACTCTACATCGAAGCAGGTGGTCCCTGTCCATTTGTTTTCCAGAATTAAAAAAGTGGGCAAATAAGATCACTTGAAATGCCTAGATGATGCAGGTGTGAGGCAAGCCAATCATGTCCTGTAGACAGATGGAAAAGCGCAACTTCATTGTGTCTTGGACTATTAGGAATAAGAGAAGGATTTACCATTTTCCAACTTTTTAAGGCTGTACGAGTCTGAAAATCTTGTAAGATATTAGACGTAAATAATTTAAAAAAAAAATAGTTTAATCCACCAATAAGAAATGGCTGTATTGGGATGTTGTAGTAAGCTGGTACCTCTTTTTGCAAGGAAGTCCACTTGTTCATTGCCCCAAAGGCCACAATGGCTAGGGACCCTCTGGAGAATGATCCGTTTCCTCTTTAAAGTGAGAGTTCTCAGCAATTCTTGACATTGCAAAATTTCAGGTGTTAATGGGTGTTAAACAGAGTTAATTAATTGAATGGCTGCATGAGAATCAGAAAAAAATTACAGCCTTTTATGAACTTGTAATGGATAGCTAATAATTGCTTTAGGGCTATACATATGGCTACTCCTTCACCATCAAAGGCGGTATCAATAGATCTTGCAGGGGTGTAAAAAGAAAAAAAAATTCGGAAACACACCAGCCCCAACTTTAAAATGACAGTCAAACCATCAGTAAAAATATGCAACCACTGAATAGGTGGATATCTAGCCACAATGGTCTCCAAAGCTAGACATTTCAAAACACTTGGCACAACATCTCTCTTTCTATGGATGGTTTCCACTAGATCTACCCTTACTTTCACATTAATCACCTCCACAGGTCTTGTTGTCAGGAGAGGTTGTATATTTTCTGGAATCTCAAGATCTTTTTTCATGTCCAAGACTTTTTGAATAAAATCCATTTTGGATTTTTAATTTCCTAGGCTTGGCTACATAGTTCCTTCAGTAGGGATCCTCCATCCACAGTAGCTTTTCATAGAGAACCAAAGTCTTCATGTTCATAACATCCCAGAGGGGTTTATTTCCTGTCAACAATAACATCACATTGATAGGTGTGGACTTCATAACTCCTGTAATCAAGCGAAGAGCTTAGTTTTGCATCACTTCAAGTTAATTAATCACCAATTGTGGGGCAGTGGTGAGAGATTCACAACAATACGTTATTAAAAACAAGATATAAGTATTAAATGCATTATTAAGAGTGGACCGAAAGCAACCCCAGATTCATGCTGTTAAATGCTTAACCCTATGTCTATTTGAAACACACTCAGTAAATTGCTAAACATGAAGCTTCCAACTTAATTTATTATCAAAAGTTCACTCCCAATTAAGAAGTTGTTTGTGTTGGTAACCAAAGTATCTTGGTACTTTAAAATGTGAGAAAAATTTCATGGGTAGAAAAAGACCACGAAGCTGTTTTTTCCAAATTTAGAATCATATTATTTTCTTCACACCAATTTAAGAGCACCTTTAGGACCTTATTTAATCAGCTTTCAATAAAGTTTTTTGCACCATGTTTTTGGAGCCTTGGTCCAAATTACCAAATCATCAGCAAATAGAAGACAATTAAAATCAGGTGTTGATTTAAGAGAAGAAACTAAATCACTGATATATACAGGGTGTTTCATAGATCATGGGGCAAACTTGGAGGGGTGGTGGAGTGCACTAAAACATGCATTTTTTGTATAGGAGTGTAGGGTCTTAAGTGACGAGTTAAGGCAGAAAGGAAGAAAAAAAAAAGAAAAAAGACATGAGAGGAAAATGTGTTTATGTACAAAATCAGAGCAAAGTGCTTCTTTGCAGCAATACAATATTCACAATAAATGTTAAAAAAGGCAACACTAACAGTAATAGGAACTACAGCTGTGATTGGCTGGCAATGCTGCGGTAGAGGGCAGTAGTTAGCCGGACAAACCCCGATCCGATTAACCTACATTACACATTATACATACTGATATAAAAATACAAAAAATCTGATTATACATTGCCAAGATCAAAATTTTTAATAGCGTGATGTTTCTGATATCACACATCATAACAAAAGAGTTTCAATAATAGAATACAATCATTTTTTTGTTAAAAAAACACTTTAATATCTTAGAGAACTAAATTGCTTTAAAAATATAAACAACTTGTCTATTATTTTTAATAATTCTATATAAACTTATAATAAAAAAAATAATTTTTCTCTTATTCAAATAATAAAACAGTTAGCTAAAAGTACTGAACTTCAGTTAGAAAGTGAACAATGAATATTTCATTTTAAATTTCTGAAATATAAAATGATGGAAATAGATAGAGAGAGAGAAAAGAAAACTTGCATAGAGTTTTAATTTGCAATATCTATCACTAAATATTTATTACTTCAAAATTATGGAAATTTACTCTCAAGCACAATTTATATTTAAATTCATATGTAACTGATGTAAAATTTAACATATACTTACTTTAAAAGCATAGAAAAAATAAGTATATACTTACATAGTTTAATATTTGGAAAGTGTGAAGCATACATAAATTGCAAAACACGAGATGTAAGAGCTAAATTCACTCTGTTCCACTGATCAACCAAAGCTATACGATGACGCCAACTACAAGCTAACTCTCGAAATGTTTTCCAAAGTGAAGGTGAAGGGAAAGATCGATGACAAGCCAATAACCATACTTCAATCAATACTCCAAGAATTCTTTCACAAAGATGACTTCCAATATCATCTTTAAAAAAAAAAAACTGTTAAAAAAACAAGACTAACACTTTTTCTTTTCTTTTCTTCTCTTTTTACAAACATTTTTCATAGTGAAATGAAAGAAGTTTTTAAAGAAATAATTATATCTTTCATACATTTCTCAACATTAAAAAGAATTAACATACTATGTCTTAAAAATCCATTAGTATTTTATTAATGGATAAAATATGTAATTTTAAAAATATGCAATATTTGTTACTTCACTTACTTTCAAACAAATTTCTTCCCCCCACCTTAGATCCAGCATAGTAAAAGGCATGTTTCACTTTAAAACTGCTTGCTTAATAGTGATTTTCATTAACTGACAAGCTAACATTCAAAGATTCATGTTTCCCCCCTCCTTTGTTTATACCAATCTAATAACAACAGTGTTCAAATAAAGAACACAGGCTTTCCTATTTTGAACAAAGTTAAGACTCCAGAAACGCTTAAACTCAGTTTATAAATAAAATAAATGTGAAAATAAAAAATATTTACTTCAAAAAGCTTTAAATTATTTTCCTTATATATATACCATGCCAAATCTTTTAAGAAGAATGAGTAGAAAATACTTATAAACCAGTCATAGATTGATAAGCATCTATGACTAGTGACAATAAATCATTCCCTACCTGACCAAAAATAGATAGTATGTTTTCTCCTGCTACTAGCTATACAAAAGGATTCTCCTGTTACTAACTATACAAAAGGACTACTATGGAAGCAATATAAAAGGGCTAAAAAATCGATTTGAACCCATTTTCAGCCTTTTGGTACACATTTTATTCCTGGAGGAAAAAAAAAAAATTCCGGAGTACTTATTTTTCAATTGAAGATAATTAAATCTTGAATATTTCTTGATTTGAAAACAAGTAGGTATCCATGATTTGTGAGAAGTTTAGCCGCAGGCAAATCTAGCAACTACCTGCACCAGAGTGTCATCTATTAATGAGTGCTAAGATGTTAATCTTTACACGGCTGAAGCATCAGGTGCTTAATGTTTGAGTGAAGCAGACAAATTTTTTCTGCTTCATGCAGACATAACAATTGCAAACATCCAAGACAACACTTTACACATTATCTAAACCCAGACAAACCGATATAATAGTTGTCACTATTAATCTTTGCTGCATTCTCTAGATGCTGATAATAATAAAATTTAATTAATGATATGGAACACGGTGTGCTTTCCCACTAGAAGCTATCCCTTAATCTATTACATTATGATATTTCCAAGACTGATGGAAACAAATTTTCCTGCCTGTTTTTAAATCTGGTCCATATTTGGCAATAATATTAATATTTTAGCATTATTCCATTTGTAAAAAAGCTACTATGTCTTTGTTAACATTTATGTACAATTTCTACAGATTATTTTGTCCTATAAATAAATAGTTTCTATTAATTTTGAATATTAGTGTAACATTTATTAATCATAACTTATTTTTAATTTGTGACCACAAAGTATTAATTAAAAATTCTTATATACACCAATCTGCAGCAATAATCCAAACACTATTTCTAAACTTCTTACACTTAAATGATAAGCAACAAATCCACATTCCAACTAAATGCCAGTTGTTTATGACCATAGAAATAGAAGATTAAAAAATTCAACTATTTAAATTATTTTAGCTTGTAATATTCTTATATAATGAATTTTTTAAGTTCTACTTAAAAATTTTCAATTTAAACCACTAAACTGGCAATAAAAAACTACATACTGAAACAACTTTTTGACATTTTTTAATAATTTAGGAATAATTCTAAGTTCTGATTTCTTTATGTAAGTATGTGTGAAAACTTTTTCAAAAAGTAATATTTTTGCTTATTGTCTATAATATTTATTAAAAAGAGATCTTTCAGTTTCATCAAATTCACAAACTTTAATTACAGACACAACTAGTATTAGTGGAAAGAAAAAAACTAAAGAACAGAACAAGAACTGAGAACTCTATTTGGAAAAAATCTTGAAGAGCTGGTTCGATACTTAAAATAAAGTTATGCTATAAGATATTTTCTTCCTCCTTTCCACATGCCTTTGTGGTGTAACAGGAAGCACACTCGACACATATTCGAGAAGTCCAGGGTTCAAGTCCCGTCAAGGGCATACCACATTTTTCACATCTCCTGCTTCTTCAAAAATAAACCTAATTCATCATGACCTGGATTTGGCAATTGGGTCCCCTCATCCCCAGTCACCCTTTATGGCAAATATATAAGGCACTTTCTCCCTTCTTTCCACATGCTTTTGTAGTGTAACTGGAAGCACACTCAATGCATATTCGAAAGGTCCAGAGTTCGAGGCAAAGGCACTGCACATTTTTCATGTATCGCGCTTCAAAATAACCTAATGACTCCACAATGCATACTTAAAATTAATATGTACATAAAAAAGCTAATTAATATACTGAATGCCATATTAAAAAGTTAGATGCACAACTTTTCTTTTTCACTATGGTATGTTCAAATTATTTCTCTATTCAAAATTAAGCAAACTAAGATCCAGCAGCTAAATTATCAAACACTCATTTCTCACTTCTAGTTTCGATGCTTGATTGAGCCAATTAGATGAGGTTATAGTATTGTTGTGTGCATATGGGTTCATAATAGATTTAATGCACACAGCTCCGATGAAAAGTTGGTAAGTTTTATTTCATCAAATGAGACACTTCAGAGATCTGGAACTTTCCATGAAGATAGTCATAAAACTCTTCATAATATCACAGAGTAGTACAATCAGCCATTACACTTCAAACTACTATGAATGTTAAATACAATGCAATGCAAAGTGCAGCTAAAGAGAAAGCTACCCAGAGATACCTCAGTACTCTGATCTCAGGCTGAGCTTACCAGCCTTACACAGTTTTTACCTGGCCTCCGAGATATTTCTAGTACTTTCTGCTTCTCGATATTAATGAAAGGCAATATGAGGGTGGAATTATAGTTACAGCTAATTTAGTGATAAATTACAATACCCACTATGGAGATACAGGGATTGGACCAAAATGTTGCCAATGGTGACCAAATGTGGCAACAAAAATTACTCTCCGAAACCGTTGCCAGCTTGGCGATATCTTACCAAATTAACGAGACTACTCATCTCAATGTTAAACAGAACTTGCCCCTGTATTGTTACTTTTCCAGTATTGCTTTTCTCTATTGATTTTTCATGTTACATTACACAAAAAAAAAAAAAAAAAAACAGAACAATTTCATATATACCTTCACTAAAATCACCTATCTATGAATAAAATTCGTAACACTAACCCCCTCCCAAGGACTGCACGTCTCGGGTAGTACAATCCCTGGACAGGAAGCCTTACTTACAACTATGGTACTTACTACTACTTACCTACTTACACTACAGCATTAATTCAATAAATGAAACATAAAACAAATCAAATGCTAACCATTAAACAAATTCATAAATTTACAAATTCATATACCAATATGATGATTGTTTTTAGCATACTATTTACATTACATACACTATAAGCACTACGTACTATGGCCATAGTAAGGTGCTAGGCTTGTCGCAATAAACAACTTTAGGCTTAGAATTCAGTGACTTATTATCATTCATTCAGCCTGTTTAGGACTGTGTATGGACTATCATTTCATTAACTATGATTTCATTCAGCCTGTTTAGGACTGTGTATGGACAATCACAAGGTGACTGTAATTCAGGAGAGTGTCCTTTCTATCGAATTGGATTCCACAACCACACCTTGTCACCTTTGTTGAATCGATGCCCGGTAGCTCATGTGTCGTACTGGATCTTCATCTTCTCTCAAGTTCTCATCAAGTTGACTCACTCTCATGCAAAACTGTGCATCATTTCAAACTGTGCTAGGAGATGTTAGTTGTACTCCTCAAGAAATGGAAGCACATATAGAGGGGACTAAACAAGAGAGCATAAGGCAGACGAAGGTCACGACCCAAGACCACCTGCGATGGGAAGGAGCCAGTAATCTCATGGACAGCAGTAAACTAGGCCTGTAAGAACAGTGGTAACTTCTTATCCCAGTCCTTTTGATGCATGGAAACCACCAGTGAAATGTTACTAGGAATGGTTTAATTAAACCACTCTACCATACCATTTGACTGGGGATGTAAAGGTGTGATTTGAGTTTTATCATACCTTGCAGAGTTCCTTAATTACAGCCAAGATAAAATTTCTTCCTTCAAGATAAAATTTTCAGATCATGCATCGTTAAGCTGGCTATTAAATTTCCTAACTAATACAGTACAAAGTCTGTAATCCGGAAGTCCATTATCCGGAATGATCTATAATCTGGAACTCAAAGCCACAAACTTTTTTTGGTATGCTTTCCGCATGTGTGTAATGCGTTTACGCATGCACGTTAATGTGCATTTAAGCATGTGCATGCACATTGGGAGGATATGTCTCCAGATATGTTAAAAAATGCTTGGCATAATTTATGGCCAGCTGCCATATTTCATTGTGAGGATGATGAAGATGATAGCCGCGAATTTGAAGGTTTTCAGACATTGCAAATTAAAGGTGAAATTTTCCAGTTATTGGATTTGGTAAAGAAATGTAGAGAAGTGGTAATAAATGAAGATTATATAACAGAAGTTTTTCAAAGCGACGACCATGCCCCAATCATCAATCAATTAACGGATGGCGAAATCTGTAGTATGCTTCTAGATTCAGAAAATAATGCTTCCGGTAGGTGGAACTTTGTAACTGAACAAGAAATTATGTCTGTTTATAGAATTAATGAGAAAGTATTAGCACAAAAAACGAAGCAACTTAAACAACTTACATTGAAAGAAATGTTTAATAAAGTAAACAAATAAAGTGGTGTTTTTTTTTTTTTTTTTTTTTGTAAATTTTGATACCCTTTAGATCATAATTGCTCTTTATTTCATAAATTATGATTTCATATTTTTAACTGTATAATTTTGCATGCCATCTTACAATATTTAAATTGATGATCTATAATCCTGAAAAACACCAAA